CCCCACCCCCACCCAGGGGGGACCCAGGCGTCTGGGGACCCCCCCACCCCCCCCCAAGGGGACGCAGGCGACTCACCGAGGTGGGGAAGTACTTGTAGGACTCCTGGGGGGGAGAGGGACGCGTTGGGGACGCGTCAGGGACATGGGGACACGTCAGGGACATGCCGGGGACGGGGGGGCACGTTGGGGACATAGAACAGGGGACACAGGGACACGTTAGGGACATGGGGACACGTCGGGGACGTGGGGACACGGGATGGGGACACGCTGGGGACGGGGGGACACGTTGGGGATGTAGAACAGGGGACACAGGGACACGTCGGGGACACGGGGGGGACATTGGGGACATGGGATGGGGACATGGGGACACATTGGGGACACAGAACAGGGGACAGAGGGACACACTGGGGACATGGGACGGGGACACGTGACAGGGACCCAGGGATGTGTGTGGGACACTGGGGACATGGGACGGGGGCACGGGGACACATTCGGGACGTAGAAGAGGGGACACAGGGACACACTGGGGACATGTGGGGGACATTGGGGACACAGGACGGGGACACAGGGACATGGGACAGGGACACAGGAACACGTGGAGGACATGGGGACATTGGGGACATGGGATGGGGACACGGGGACACACTGGGGACACGAGGACACGTGGGGGACATGGGGAGAGATTTAGGAGACGGCAGGGACAGGAACAGCGCGACACGGGGACCCGGGACACGCCAGGAACACGGGGACACGGTGACACAGAAACACGGCAGGGACACGCCAGGGACACGAGACAGGGTGACAGGGCCACAGCGGGGACACACTGGGGCCACCCCACCCCCCAAACCCCCGCACACGCCAAGCACACACCAAAAGCAGACACGCCACATGCTAAGGACACGCTAAAGCCCCACTAACTGCACGCTAACACGCTAAGAACACGCAAGCCACATGCAAAGCACATGCTGCTACCGTGCTAACACGCTAAAGGCGCTAACGCCATGCTCATGGCGTGCTAAGGACACGCTAAGCACACACAGGCCACGCTAACATGCTAAAGCCCCAGCAACCTCACGCTAAGGACACACTAAAGCCATGCTAACGACACGTTACGCATCCATTAAGGCCACGCTACCAACACGTGAAGCACACGCTAAGGCCACGCTAACAACGTGCGAAGCACGTACTAACGACACACTGAGGGCATGCAAACGTGCTCAGCACATGCTAAGGCCACGCCAGCCACACGCCAAGGCCACAGTGACAATGCTAACGACACGCTAGCACGCCAAGCACGCGCAAGACACGCCAAGCACACGCCAAGCACGTGGTAAGGCCATGCTAACACAACACACTAAACACGCTACAGCCACGCTAGCAATACGCTAACATGCTAAAGCCACCCAAACAACATGCTAAGGCCATGCCAAGCATACGCTAAGGCCACAGTAAGCCCACATCAAGGACACGCTAAGGACACGTGAAGCACTCCCCACCTCCACACTAAGCCCATGCCAAGCACACGCTAAGCCCACGCTAAGGCCACGCCAAGGCCATGCCAAGGCCACACCAAGTACATACTAAAGCCACACTAAGGCCACACCAAGGATACAGTAAACCTCTACTAAGGACGTACAAAACAGTAACCCCATGCTAAGGCCACGCCAAGCACACGCTAACGCCACACACTAAGGCCATGCTAAGGCCACGTCAAGCGCAGCCTAAAGCCATAGAAAGGCCATGCCAAGAACATGCTAAGGACATGCTACAGCCACGCTAAGGACACGAAACACTCACTCCAGGCTAAGGCCATGCCAAACACATGCTAAAGCCACACTAACACCACACTAAGGCCGTGCCAAGGCCATGCCAAGCACACACCAAGCACATACCAAGGCCACGTAAAGGACTCCCTAGCCCCACGCTAAGCCCACAGCAAGCACATACTAAGACCACGCCATGCACACGCTAAGGCCACATAAAATATTCACTAGCCCCACACCAAGCACATGCTAAGGCCCTGTAGAGCACTCCCTAGCCCCATGCTAAAACCACACCAAGCACATGCTATGGCCACATAAAGGATTCCATAGCCCCATGCTAAGGCCACAGCAAGCACACGCTAAGGCCACACCAAGCACACGTTAAGGCCACATAAAATATTCACTAGCCCCACGCCAAGCACACGCTAAGGCCACATAAAGGACTCCCTGGCCCCAGGCTAAGGCCACACCAAGCACACGCTAAGGCCACACCAAGCACACGCCAAGGCCCCGGGGCTCACGCGGGCGCGCAGCTGGCACTGCCGCAGGCGGCACTTCTGGCGGATCTTGTTGGGGCCCCCGAATTTCTTCATGTCGCGGCAGAAGTCGCACTGCCCGCAGTCCTCGGGGCGCCGGCACGCCTCGCACTCCCCGCACATGCGGGCCGACCGCTTGATCTGCACGGAACGGGGGGGGATGCAGGCGGCCGGGAGGGGATCCGGGCGGCCGGTTCCACCCCCAATGCCTCTGTGCACCCATGGGTGCCCCCCCAGACCCTTGGGTGCCCCCCCCAGACCCCCTGGGTG